AAAATAAAATAAAATATAATTTGCTTTTATTAGGTGTGTAGATAATATATTATATATATAATATATGCTGCTGCTTATCCTGCTCCTGCTGCTGTTCCTGCTGCTCTTGCTGCTGTGAACGTTGTTCTGCTGCTGCTGCTGCTGCTGCTGCTGTTGCTGTTGCTTCTGGTTCCGTTACAAATTTGGTATTGCTGTTGCTGACGCTGCTACTGCTGCTGCTGCTACTGCTGCTGTTGCTGTTGCTGCTGCTGCTGCTGCTGGTGATACTGCTGCTGCTGCTGCTGCTGCTACTGCTGCTGCTGCTGCTGCTGCTGCTAGAATACCTTTCCGCTTCTTCCATGGCATCTCTGCTTTCCTGTATATTGTCAGGGGGGGCGATGAAGGTATCCTCAATGCTTTCACTGGTGCCTGTAGAGTATTTAAACAGCTAGCAGCAACACATATTTTATTAGCTGGCTGCCTGCTGCTGCTGCTGCTGCTGCTGCTGCTGCTGGTCTTGTTGCTGCTGTTGCTGCTGCTGCTGCTACTCGTGCTGCTGCGGTGGTAGCTGCTTATGGCTGTTAGCTTGAGGCGGAGCCCGCATGCAGATACAGACAGAGAGCTGTATGTACAGCAGCATTTGTTGATGAAGTAGAGTTTCTTGGTTGTGATAAAAGCAAAGATATTAATATAAATTGTGCTAACCCTAAACCCTAAACCCTAAACCCTAAACCCTGAAGGCTGCTGCTGCAGCGGCACGGCGAGCCAGTGCAGCAGGAAAGCTGTACTAAGAAAGACGATGAACTCACCAAGGGAAAAAGGCTGAAAGATATTCGTCATTTTCGGGGTGTATAGACAGAGTTTCGTGGTTTATATCGTCAGAGTGCCGCAGGCGGGCGGCGGAGAGGTGGCCGCTGTCTAGCTGGCCTTGGGGCCCTTCAGGAGGGTATGAAGCTTCGATACTTTTGCTGCGATTGAAGACGAAATAATTCAATAAATTAAAAACAAAAAAAACAAAAAATAAGCTACAAATTTACAGACTGGAACCCAGAAGACGGCCGAAGGGGGTCCGGCAACGAGCAGCGGCAACACTACAGAAACATGAAATAAACTCTCACTCAGCACAGATAAACTTCGTTCAGAAAAGGATCCAAACGAAACCTGTGATAGTTTTTTATAAAAAAAAAACCATAAAGGGTTATTTATATAATATACAACTCAAAGGAGTTGTTGCTACTCAGTACAAATACAACAGCTCCTTTCAGTAGCTAATCTACCCAGGGTCGTAGGCAGCCCCGAACACTAAGACGATATTTTTTATAACTATGTGATTAGAAATGCATGAAAAATATAATTAATTTGTTTTAATATA